AATCACATGGTTAAAACAACCCACGATTCTTGATAACTAACTAACTGATCTCGTGGTTTCAATAGATACAATAGGAAGTTTCTGGAAAGAAGTATCAAGAAAATTGAAATGAATCACATGGTTAAAAGTAAAAACAACCCACGATTCTTGGTTACCAACTAACAGAAGACGATAATTCTATATTGTAATGTGCCCCCTCAAGTTGGAGCTAGAATGGAGTTTGACAATGCTCAACTTGGATATCAATACAGTAAACTGATCTTTCCAAAGAGCTTTGATGAAAATGTCTTCTGGTTGAAGTGTAATCGGTAAATGAGTAGCAGTAATAATTCTAGATTGAAGATGATGTCTAATGATTTGGCAATCGATCTTGACGTGCTTAATGCATTGATGGAAATCGGGCTGACAGCAATATGTAAAGAAGCTTTGTTGTCACTATAGAGTTCTATGGGTTGAGGGTGATGGAGGTCCAAGTCACTAAAGAGCAGATGAAGCCATTGTAGTTCACTAGTAGCTGCTGCCATAGAATGATATTTAGCTTTTCTGAGGATCGAGATACAATGAATTCCTTCCTTGACTTTCATGAAAGTGGAGAGTGACCAAGAATGGTGAAATAGTCAGTAGTAGAGCATTGCGTAAATAGACAACCAACCCAATCAGAATCACTATAGGCCCTTAGGATTAAATCACTATTTGTGGAAAGAAGAATCCCTTGACTTCCATGAAAGTGGAGAGTGACCAAGAGTGGTGGAATAGCCAGTAGTAGAGTGTCGTGTAAATAGACAACCAACCCAATCAGAATGACATTAGGCCCTTAGGACTAAATCACTAAGTTGAGCTAAAATTAAATTTCGAAGAAAAATGCAAAAGACATGTTGGCCGACCTACTTATGTGGCTCAGGTTGACTTGAACAAGCATATACTCAGCTAGGAAATTATCTACTTGAAAACGCCAACGCATGAAGCGTTGCACTTCAAGTTGTAAATCCTCATTGAACTCTACACTAAACTTCCAGCAATCCCTCCACCATACAGTATCCATGTTCCAGTCGGTCCTATGAGAAAGTAAGAAGTATCTATTCTTCCAATCTTTGATCTTAGGGGACCTTCTTCATAGTACACATCCTGGAGAAGATATCTAAGTCTAAAGGAAAATTAAGGTGATGACACATGGTGATCAGCCCTATAAGTGTCCGAACTACGTACTATGAACACCACAAAATGAAAGCACCATAGGAATAAAGGGGTGCAAGGGAAAACGAAGTTCGATGACTAGTGCCTCCTCAAAAACACAGACCTTACCTCGACTGTGACTCCATGGGAAGTGATTTGGGTCGGGCTGGATATAGTCAAAATCACTAGGTCACGGGTCACCATTTCGACTGGCTGGGTCGAACAATTTAGAGTATGCCACATCAGTGCATATATGTATTAAGTATATATATTTATATATATATATATATATATATTTACATACATACATACATATATGTATGTATGTATGTATAAATATGTTTTTAGATGTATTATATGTATAAACGGTCTATCATCTCTTGACTCCCATTTGAAGCCAAAAATGGGTTTTTTCGCAAAAATAGCGGGGCAATGCACCTTTGGCCCCTTGGGATGCATAGATCTCGAGAGTTGTCCAAATCAAACAAAAAAGAATCACCCCAATCGGACATCGGAATGCAAATGTATGGCCTCCAAAAATTTGTATGCATTCAGTCTACAACCCACGACCCAGTCATCGGGCCAAATAGGTCAACGGTCAAACCGATCAGGTCAAATGATTCTTCACCAAGTCTATGGTTTTTGACCGTCTGGCACATCTTGACTGAATTAGACCCAAAATCCTGACCAGATGATGATTTGAATGGTTCGACCGGCTGAATCAACGGTGGGTTGAAAACATTGGTTCATAGCCTTAGATGAAAAAGGTAAGGACATTTTTTTAACCGCAAACTGGAACTAGACAGGCTGAATTTTATACTATTCTTATCTGTTAAAACATTCAATAATTAATGCATTAATGGAATATAAACAAACTTTATATATGTGTTGGGATTTAGTCAAAGKCTCTCTATACAAATAGAGATCACATAGTCTCATTAATTATGTATCTAGAAGAGCAAAGACTTTGCATGCSTTTATGACACCAAGATAGGCCTTATATGTGATCGGCTTGTTGGACAACTCTGTTTAGAGGTCTAGGGAGGCTTCTATTTSATGGTAGTTTGTAGTCATTTTATTTTGTTATAATGCTTAAAAGAAAATCAAAATGCATCATCAGAATTGGAATAAGAAGGTTAAACAAAAATCCTAATTGATTATACATTGTAAGCAAATTCCTAGAAAGACCACCTGAACATTCAAATTCTAACAAAGACCCCCTCTCCATTAAGTTGGGAGATGGAGGAAGCTAATTTAACAAAATACCGACCTGAGAAACTTCTATAAAATGAATATTGCAACAAAAAAAGACCAAAACAAGAGATTAACGAATAGTTAATCAATGAATATTCCTACAAGACCATTTTGTGTAGGCCTCCCCTGTTCCTTGGTAATAATTCTAAGGTCTAAAGAAATTGTCAATTTTCTCATAAAAGATAAGAAAGATCAATATAGAAATTAACGAATAGTTAATCAATGTTTAACTTGGTGTTACCGTTTGGCTAGGATCGAAAAGAATATAGAAATACAAAAATTAATTTATTTGTTGTTAGTTGATGTGGAAGGAATAAACTTGTTTAACTGGGTTCTACAATTGAACCCTAACAGGTGTTGACCACAAACAGTGGGTTGRAACATACATCACGTAATTGTCAGGTTGTAATAATAAGAGTGCTGCTGACCTACACCTGCTGCAGATGAACATTAAAAGAAATGAAGATAAAGATAACAATGTTAACAAAAAGAAGCACAACGAAATAGTTTGGTTGTGAAGATGAAGTAAAGTGACTACGTACGTACCGGAGGAAGAAGAAGGAAGTCTGATGTTGTGGATAAAAGTAAAGTGACTACGTACTCTCAGTAGGTCATCAGCACCATCATTGTATTTCCACATCTGGGACATGAGATATCTTAGGCCAATCTTTACCCTTACCGGTTGCGTATCTTTCCTTTAACTCGGGACATTTTTGAATCCGTAGAATCTGTAGCTCTGTCAGACGCCGCATACCTTGAGGTAGTGATGATAGATTACGACAATCTTCAATATGAAGTTCCCGAAGGGATTTTAGGTCTCCAAGCTCCTCTGGAAATGCAACCAATTTGGGCATATCGTCGATCTTCAGAACTTGTAGGGCTGTAAGACCTCCTATGCCCTCCAACGAATGAAAGTTTGCACAATGCTCGATTAGTAGCTCCCGTAGTACTGTTTTTGGATGCTTCATTTCTTTAGGTAGAGATGTCAATTTGGGACAGTCATCAATATAAAGTTCTTCAAGCAATTCGACGTCTCCAAGCTCCTCGGGCAGCTCCACCAATTGGCGCAGATCCCTAATCGTCAAAACTTTTAGGGCAGAAAGACCTCCGATGCCCTTCAACGAATGAAAGTTTGGACAATACTCAATTTTCAACTCTTCAAGATCGGCGAGGTATTGCTTCACTGCTTGAGGATGCAATGATGTCAATTGATTACAATATGAAATTTGTAAAAATCGGATAGAAGTCAAGCCTTCCATCGCCTCCGAAGGAAAAGACTCTAAGTCTTGGCAGCCGTCAATTGTCAATGATGTGGTGGTTACATGAGTAGTGGGAAGGAAGTGTTGAAAAGAAGAAGAAGAAGAAGAGGATGATGAGTTTGTAGTTGATGATGATGATGATGTCAACATTAATGGGATGGGGGTTTTATCCTTCTTCTTCTTCTTCTTCTTTTTCAGAATTAACTCCAATGGCTTGGCATCAATCCAAGATAACTCCACTCTTTCACGTGCCGGCAAACCCCAAGGAATACTTTCCAATTTAGGACAATCCTCTATGATCCAGCGATTGGGAAGGTGAGGGAACAGTACTACTGATAATGAGTTATGTGACTCTTCTTCTTCTACTACCACTACTTGCTGATCAGTATCTAATATTTCCATTATTATTGACCAACTCTCCAGTTTAGGCATGTACTGAAGGTAGAGTTCCTTTAAGGATGGGAAGAATCCATCTCCTTTCCTCAATTTACTTGTAATACTCTTGAGGGCAGACAACAATTCTAGCTTAAGGACCTCAAGGGAAGGGAGCGGACCTGAGAAGTCTAGAGATTCGCATCTTGTACAATTCTTTAACTCAATTCTCACTAGATTTGGGAGCAACGAGGATTTAATCATCCAAGAAGCAAATTTCATCCCTCCATACCCTTTTAGCGTCAACTCCTTTAGATTTGGATGTGGCTGCAGTCCTTCCAACGCATCATCATCATTATCCCCTTTTCCTAGATATAATAAAGTCAAGGATCGAAGGTGTGGCTTCTCCTTCAAGTTTGCTTCCTTGCCATCTCTCACTTGTTCAACTCCCCTGATAATTAAATGGCCGCTTAGCTGCTGGTTCAGCCCATGCAACTGCTTAATATGCTCACCACATAACCCCAATCCCTTGATTCTCCTAATGTCAACTGGCAAATTTTCAAGTGAACAGTAAGCAAGACCTAGAGTGTGCAAATTCTCTAGTTTTGTAATAGAAGCAGGGAGTGCTTTGATTCCCTCGTTCCCAGAGAGGTCAACATGTCTTAGGCTCTTCATATTTCCAATATCTTTGGGCAAATTTTCAAGACCAAAACAATTTATAAGTTTCATGGTCTGCAAATTTTGGAGCTTAGTGATTGATGTAGGGAGTGTCTCAATATGCGGATTATAAGAGAGGTCAAGGTACCTTAAGTGCTTCAATTCACCTATGCTACTTATTTGCAAGCTTTTATTACTTGTATCGTGTAAGTCTAACACACGTAAGCAAGCACAACAATTCACTATTCTTTCAATTGGCAATGCCCTGCCACCATAACAAAAATAATGGGGCAAGCGTAGAAGAGTCCGCACCTTATTAGCAAGTTTCAATTGTGACCAGAATTCAATGCCGTTAGTACTATTATATCTTCCATGGCCAAGAAGCGCCACGTGTCGAACTCCTTTAGGAATAGTTATCGTAGGTGGTGGAGCTCCCTTCTCTATCCGAAAACACTCGACCCCTTCGGCGACTGATTGAGCAAGGTCATGCACGAGGTCGTGCATTTTGCAACTTACTATGTTTCCCTCTTCATCTTCTTTTGCTTCCTGAAACATGCATCTCCACARTAGATCGTTGAAATACTCCTCACCTATTTCCTCCAAGCTCCTCTCACTACTACTACTACTCCCTTGGTAAGATCCAATGAACCCCTGTGCCATCCATAATTG